TCATCTCATCTCATCTTATCTTATCTTATCTTATCTTATCTTATCTTATCTTATCTTATTTTATCTTATCTTATAACCGTTGTCCTAACCCACAGCCCTGAAATGCAAGCTGTACACTGCATGGCTGACTTTTTCGCCTTTACAAGAACGTCCAGATAGCTCCGCTATGATTAGAACCACGGTACTTACGAACCTTTTCATAATTTACATGTTTTCCAAATCGCTAGATCTACCTCAGAATTGCAAAGTTTTATCTGACCGTTTTTGGGGCCGTTTTGAGTTACTGTTTGAGACCATGAGGTCAGAAAGCAAGTACTTTATCCGCTGTGTCAGAATCGTAAGATTAATCTGAGTCGTTATCAAGATATTTCAAGAACTGCGTTCGAAAAGATGAAACTCAAAGTGTTTGACGTCAAATGTGAGGCAGCGTGGTGGAATCAGACTATCGTTAATTTTTGGACATGTAGAGTTATTGGTGTCATCTTAACGTTTCTTCATCAGTCCTTATTTGTATGAAAAAAGTATCCATTTATCTTGAATACAAGTTGATATACTTGCAATTGAAGGGGGGGGGGGGAGGACTCTGATTAGTAGTAACAATAGTGGCTGTTGCAGTTGTTTTTGTTAATTGAAGTTAGAGGCTCACCAGGTGCCTTGAACTTTTGAGAGTGGTTTTGCTTTTCATGGTTTTGCCAGTAATACAAGTAATTGGAAGGTTCGACAGAACTAGTTTTACTCTTATTTATTATAATTTCTCCTTTGTTCCTGTCTGTCTGCTTTGCTTTTTCACACACACCTCAGAAGGCGGTCTTGTGTTTCTGAAACAACTGAAGATGGACATTCAGAATTGGGGTAGTTGTTGAATGGGAGGTCCCTTGTCATTCTCAAGAGAGTCCGGTATTGTTACTTTTCAGGGAGCTGTGAGGACTATATGACGATGAATTGTGTCCTGTCACAGAGAAAAAATGCTTTATAAATATGCAAAACAAAACAGTCCGTAATCGGTGTTCTACTCTTTAATTTCCCAACGCTCGTTTGAATTTAGTTAAGGGTAGAACCACATTTCCAACTTCACTCTCTCTTGGAAAATTCAAGACACAAAACTTTGTGCGTAGTCTTCTTCTGCTCATCTTTTCTTGTCGCCGGAGAACTGAGGCTAATTATCCTTTAGAAGATTATGTTTATTTTATGTTTGTTTACTTGTTTACTTTGTACTCCACACTTCTTCCTTGTTGCATCATTTACTTCTTTGCCATCCCTACCGCTGTGATATATCATTTTACCTTCATCCACTCTTTCTCTGTTCCTATGCAGAATTTCTAGTGACAACAAAGTTGACTACTTGTTTTGACTACAATTTTAAGCTATTATGAATCATTTTTGCTTTACATTCGCAACAGAAAAGGGACATTAGATTTAAAATGAAAGAAAAGAGGACTCGGGAATTTATACTAAATTTGAACTCCTTGCTTCTTTTAACTCTCCGCCCCCCACTCTCTCCACCACAGGACCGTGCAGCCAATTTGGTGGTGCGTGTGCTGACCTCCTTCAAAGGAGACATTGACCAGTGCGTCAAGTCTCTGGATAGCAAAAATGTCGACACACTGATGAAGTACATCTACCGGGGATTTGAGATGCCTTCTGAGAACAGCAGTGCTGTCCTCCTTACCTGGCATCAGAAAGTGAGTGGATTATTGCTGAAATACTCTGAAAGAGACAGATTTTTGTTTTTTAGATAAGATAAGATTTATCTTTATTGTTAAGACACTAACTAATCTGTTTTCTTGGTGTTTAACCACATGCATGCGTGAACATACACATGCGCACATACACTCACACACACACACACACACACACACACACACACACACACACACACACACACACACACACATACACATACACTCACAATGCATGTGTCATGGTGAAATAAGGCACTCATCAAAATAATGAAATCAAAGAAAACTACATACTGTTATTGTGCAAAATACAGACGATCCTGCTGTGAGTAATGTGGTCCAATCTTTTTATAGCTGCAGCTTTCAAAGAGAAAACTCAAACCGAACAGTACTATTTTTTTTGTACATTCAACAATGGTTTTTTAAAGTATAACGAAGCACACACATGCTTGCACCAGTACACCCAACCACAGACAGAGACTTGGTAAACTTAACCTTGTCTATCTTTGTCCTTTGCTGAGGAGATATCATCAAGCTGCTACCTTTTTGGCCTGAGTGAAACTGAGGCCAAAATACAACTGATGAACCACTGAACTCCTTGACATCTGCTTAAGTATAGTGATGTAAGATTAAAATTATACTCCAAATCATTTCAAAGAAAAAAACTGCATTTGGCCTAAGTCGACTGTGACATTGATTTTCCCTTGTAATTTGGCCTAAGTCTGGCATAGGCCAATTCGTCTCTCTTTCATTTTAGTGGGCAAGTTTCTTACTCCCAGTCTTGGGTCTAACTGTCCATTTCAGTCTTTTCAAAATGGCCTAAGTCTTTCAGAATTTAAAAACGAGAGAAAAACAATTTTGCTCAAGTCATTTCGCTAAACGGCTTAAGTCAGAGGCCACAGTCATGAAACGGCCTGTGTCAGTCACATCCCATAATTTTGGTTTTTATTGGAAAATAACTTTCAGCAGTAATGAGGGACGATAAATTAATTAGCTCTGGAAATTTTGGGCTGTAAGTGCATTTTTCAGTTACTGAGACAGTTTAAAAAAAAATTATCTCTGAAGTGTAAGAAATGACTTGGGCCAAAAAGGTAGCAGCTTGACGATATGGTCACTCCAAGTAATGATGCTGTGTAGGGTTTTTCATCCACTTCTTCTACTTGAAAAAGAATAAACTTTGTTGAAGAACCAATGGTTTTTGTACCAATATATTTCGGAAGATTGTCAAGTTTCAACATTTGTTTGATTTCGTTTGTTTTTAATTTCGCGGTATGTCAATAGTCAATATGTTGACCAGCCTGAACGCAATCCTACTGCCAATACACTCTTAGCTTTGCCAGATTCTAATTCTTTTGCTTTTCAGTTTCTATTTTACGTAGTCAGACATTTCTGTAGTTTTGTTTTGGAAATTTATGTTTAGATTTTAGAACATTTTTTTGGATAGATCTATATTCATCTTTGAATTTCCTTACTTTTTCGTGGACACTTAAAAAAAATATCTCTGAAGTAATGATATGTATGACATTGTTTAGTTTTGTTGTTGCTTTTTTTCCCCCAGGCATTTGCAGCAGGTGGTCTGGGCAGCATAATGCGGGTAATGACTGACAGGAAGCGAGTGTAGCTGCAGTCTGGGACGTCTGTGTTTGCATGTTTTGATGATGGACTTGAAAGTTTTAAATCTGTTTTTTCTTTTTTTTTTCTGCTTTTGTTTTAAGGAATTGACTTGTGAGAATGTTTCCTCATCTGTAACACATCTTCAAGTTGTTTGCCACGCCCACATTATAATTAAAAACCTGCAGCAGACATCAAACCTTTGGCGAGGGTACGCTGTGCCGTAGCTTTCATCCGGAATATTATCATCTTTTCATGTGATAGGAGATAGATTTTTTTTTTTTTCTGTAATATCTTTTATTTTTGTCTACTGTTTTTGATCTCATCGCTTCAGAAAAGTGGGTGTCTGTGCCTTTTCTGCAATGAGATGATATTTGGTTTTAGGTTTCGTGTATGGCTGCATAAAGTTTTTGAAAAACGCAGAGCATCTTGCCCGGCTGTGATGATGGTTCCTCTGTAGGTGTCTTTTTTCTTGTTGTTTTAGCAGAGGACGGTGAGATAGGGGTCCTTCAGGTTATAGCTTGGTATCAATATCTCTAGATGAATATTTATAATTGAATGTTTGTTAGCTTCATTAATAAAAGAATTATTTGATATGATTTGGGTTGATAATTGTTGTCGCAGTTGGAAATATAAGCTGAGGTATGCTGAATTTGTCAGGTATGAGTACATTTTTCTTTAATTGATTTTGGGCAGAAAAAAATGGTTTTCCTGGGTATTTCACTTGAGTATGTAAACTTTTGAAATAAATGTCAACAGCCTAGGTGTTTCCCAAATGTTTGGTCAGGAGAGTTTGTTTAATTTTTTAGTAGAGCCTAGTGTAGCATTAGTGTTTATTTACAGTTTTGCATTGCTTTTTCTTGTCAACAGAGGGCTAGACAGCCGAGCTTTGCCAGCTATTTTTATTATTATTCCTTTTATTCTGTGCACCTTGTGATGAGATGTTGGTGACACGAGGGTGCCTTTTCTTTTCTCCTTCTTTTAAACCACTTACGTTTAATTTCCTTACGTCTGAAAGCTCACTAGTAGGTTTCGGATAGTTTAAATTGTGTATCTTGTATGACAGTTATCATGTACTGTTTTGTGGAATGATAGTCAACTTGCCTTTTGGGTGCAAATCAATAAGTTGTAGAAGTCTTTCCTGGTGTTGGTGGTTGCTTTGTGTTATTTCAGGAGTGTCTGACTGGCTGCTTTACGTGGTGTTCCCTGTCTTTTGACTCTCTGTGTTTAAAACAGAGAACCAACTGCCATTTTTGTCTGTGCTCGATTGGACAGAAGGAAGACTTCTTTTAAAAATATTGAGACTAGGGTCCTTCAGATTTGATTTGCACTCAAAGAAGTCCTAATTTATACTACATGGAGAGCTAGTATTGTCTTGAGCGAATGATTGCTGCAGTTTGAGGATTTTCGTCCAATTAGAAAATATATCTCTATAATTACTCATGAGCCAATGGAAGGATACAGTTTGAATTCTCTTGAAAACCTTTGGAGTTATAGAAATGCTTTGAAAAACAAAACATGAGCCTTAAGAGTGTAACTGATTTCTGTGTGTTTGATTTGTCCACATTCCATGTATTTGTATTTTAGTTTTGGGGGAAATATGAATGTTAAGTGCTTCAAAGTATTTCTGAGTATTCTGTGCTTGCTGAAACTGATTCCAAACCGGTCAAAAAACCTTTACGTTTTTGGTATAGAAAAGGAATACTGTGGCTGGAAAGGCGAACGGGAGTTGTGGGATGAGAAAGGAGTACGAATATTTGCTCTCTCTCTGTCTCTCTCTCTACTCTATGTGCACAATTTCATTGAGGATTAATTTTGGTCACAAGACATGTTCCTCTCTACATCTTGAGGAAGGTTAAGGAAGGAAGGTTAAGGAAAGCCACTAGGAGGTTTAAGTGCTATAGCTTATATTCTGTATGAATCAATGTGGTTGCTTGACTTTGTCTTCCACGTTGTTGTTTGTGCTACAGTGTGGAAGTAGGTGTGATCTAAGTCATGTTGATGGGGACGAAAAAAGACCTTCATTTAAGAAAATGAAAAAAGGAAACAATTTAGGTACGCTCTTTGGTCGTTCATCGTGTTGGCAGAATTCAATTTGTTTTACCCAGGTTTTCAGTCTCGTTCACACAGCAGTTTACCTTCCATGTTGGCGGCCAGACAGCGAGAACTAACTCCCTGAATAGTGGACACAGAACCGCCAAGTACTCTGATAAGATCGGAGCTAACCTTTTTTTTTTGTCTTTGGAACACTGTTTTCTTTTTAAAATTCTGTTTCCATCTGTCTTACGCAACTTGGCATAAATGATGTCAAAATGCTCATGTTTATTTGCATGTAAATTGCGCATTTGCACTATGCAATTTGCATGCAGATTGTGTATTTGCAATAAACATTTATTTGCCACATTCAGTTCGCAACGTAATCTGAATTTACGGAGATGTTTTTCCTCCCCAAACTTTAAGTTTTTGAGGGAGGATCCTGAGGAAAATTCTTTTTTTTTTTTTTTTTTTTTTTTGGCTAACGGAGGGGTTGGCAGGTCTGTGGGCAGGGCAGTGTTTGTTTGGTCAACTCTTGGAATATATTGCAAGGTTTTCTTCGCTCTATTTATATGTGTTTGTGCTGCAAGTATTAGTGTGCGTGTGTTTGTGTGATTGAGTGTGTGTGTGTGTGTACTTGTATTTGTTTAGGATGTTTGGCAGACAAGCAGCATTTCTTGCGCTACACGTATTATTATTATGGCAAAATGTTACTCTGTTATTCCTCTTTTATTCTTTCGGATCCTGTTATCGCATGATAAGACATTAACTAAGTTCAGGTTCGGTACATACCTTGAATACGAACAATTTGTACTCACTCTTGCAAACCTTGAATATGTTCATGATTTCTTGTATATGTCAAAATGAATAAAATTATAAATGCACGAGGAAGATTTCTGTTGTAGTTGTGACGTATTTGATTACGGTACTCTTTTCAAGTGAAGTTGTCATCATTTTGTTTTCTTTTATTCCGGAGGGATTTGTTTTTGTGGTGACTTTATTTTTCTTCCCTTGTTCTATTTCTTGTCTCAGTTTTATCTGGCTCTAGTTTGTTGTAGTTTTGTTTTGTATTTATTTTTGTTTTGTTTTGTTTGTTTTTTGCTTTTGTTTTCTACTTCCTTTCTTCTGTCTTTAAATGTTTGACTTCTCAACTGTTGTTTGGAGGGCGGCTGTGGTTTTACCTTCTTTTCTCTCCCTCTTTTTACTTTCCTTTTTTCTTAGCTGTTTGTTTACCTCAAACAGACTTAGTGATTGGTTGACGGGTGCTCTGGTGTGGTTTGCTCCTTCTTTCCTATCAAACATCTATCGTCTTTATCTCCCCTCCTTCTTTTTTGTTTATGTTACTCTCTAGTAACACATCTATTCTTTGGCACTTATATGACCTTATTGTGTTGCAAGTGCAGATAAACTCTTACTAGTGGGTGGTTGACGGGTGCTCTGGTGTGGTTTGCTTCTTCTTTCCTATCTAATATCTTTCATCCTGATCTCTCCTTCTTTTTTTGTTTGTTACCCTCTTGTAACACCTCTAATCTTCGGCACTTCTATGACCTTATTGTGTTGCAAATGCCGTAAAACTCTTACTAAAACTAAAAACTCTTACTAAAACTAAAACAGAAGTAGCACTGCTTTATCCAATAACCCAAGAGATTTTGACGAAGGGACACAACCGCGGTTTTAACGCTTTATGAAAACTTAATTACACAGCTACTTCCCTTTTGAATCTAACCACCAACAGCGGGCAGAGACCCCAAATGGAAAGGAAGATACTGGGTATAACAATAAGAACACAATATTATTAATTAGAATTGTGTCACAACACGGTGGAGTCAGGCGCTCGTCAGTTTTTAGGCGTCTGGCGTTATTGGTATCATTTTATGGTTTGTTCATTTGTTTGATTTTGATGAAATTATCCATCTTTCTTGAATAGAAGTCAGGGGCGAAGCGTCTATATAATCAAATAATCACTGCTTCCCTTCCTAATTTTGAAACGTTGTAGCAGTCAAATTCACCCATAAACGTAAACGTTATAAATTAAATGTAAAAAGACGTTTCATAATCAACAATGAACAGTATGCCTAACATTCAAAACGGTTTCACTGCCACAGAAATAGCCTGCTCACCCCTCTCGGGCCACTCCATAAGCAGTCACAAGCTTTGATTAAATAAGCTTAAAGTG